TAGAATGCCTTTTACCTTCCCCAAGCGTTGACCAAGTATCTCAACTGTGTTCATCCTCGCACTAACCTTCGTATCCCACTCTTTACCGAGCGAGACATCCTCGGGTAGGACTTTCACATCATTCTCTCTTGCCTATTTTCATCCTTGACTACATCTCCGATCTTGCAACATGAGTGAAATACACCCCTAAATTCTCGTCAAGTTTAAAAGTATTTTCAACTCTTCTCTCGACTTTTTATTAAGAGCTTCATGCCTCTACAAGAATTTGAGACCACTTTCTATGTCATGTATCTGGTAGATAAGAATGTATTTAAGTTTTGCTAGTCAATTAATAAGGAAAAATCTTTTTGGGCAGAAAATTTGGTCAGAATTTTAGTTTTTCTATGTTATTTTAATTTTTAAAACATTTTTATCCTTTTAACTTAAATACATTTTAAGTAAAAAATGGAAAAAAGATCAATTTGTTTAAAATTAAAAAAAATATTAAAGTTTTTTTTAATTTCCTGACCATTCAGCACTTCCCAATTAATAATACTCCCTCCGTCCCTTTTTAGTTGTCCACTTTAGAAATGACACACAGATTAAGGCAACAATGATTAGCACAGTGAAGTTACAATTTTACCCTTATGACAACTTTTCACTTCAAAATTACAACCACTTATTTGAATTCAAGTGAAATAAATTGGAGGGAAACAACATACACTTTTACAATTTTCAAGAAGTGTAAATAAGGGTATAATAGGAAAAAATTTGTTGTCCTTTCTTGATTTGTCAAAATGGACAACTTAAAAAGAAAATATGGACAAGTAAATAGGGACGGAGGGAGTATCTTTTTTGATTCGATAAATCGATTTTTGTACGGCCTTCGTTATTGGCCCTTTTTCCAAATCTAAAATTGATTTATTTAGACAAGATTCTGCCGTCCAATGAATGACAGATTAAGTTTTTGAAAAAGACCTTCGCATTTTCCCCAAAAATAACCATCTAGAATAACGACAAAAGTCGACAAATCGTTCTGACATCTACAGTAAAATGACAAGCCGCGTGTCAGCTTCAGAAGGGAGCAGTTTTAACTGACACATTATCTTTATTTCGTTTACATAATATATATAAGGAGAGGGGAAGTGCAAAGTTCAATTCGCATTGCTACTCTGTAGTCTGTACTTATCAATAACTTTTTCTCTCTTTGGCTGTATACGATTCACTATCTTTTTTTTCAATTTCCCTCCTCTTTTTGTATCAATGGCGGAGGCGACGGAGATGCCGTACTTTAAGTTGAATACCGGTTTCAGCATTCCGGCGGTCGGTTTGGGAACATGGCAGTCCGATCCCGGTGTCGTCGGCAAAGCCGTGGAGACTGCTATCAAGGTTTTTTCTGTCCATCTCTCGCCATATATCTGTGTATCTGTAGTTTTAGTTTCTATCTATGTAGATTTAATTACTTGCGAATTAACAGTTGATACTTTGTTTTTCTTCTTCAATGAGACTCGATCTAACGTGATTCGAGCTTCTGTGACTTATGTTTTATAGAGTGAAATTTCGTGAATGCTTGTTTTTGCGTCTCCGAATACTTCATAAGTCTTGAGAAAAGCATGAAAACGCATGTGTAATAAGTAGTATATACTACTGAGATTTTAGTTTATAATTTAAGATTTATTATTCGTAATTTAAAATATATAACAAACACTTCGGTAGAGACTTGCATCATATAGAAAACGCATTCCGCTTTTATAATATTGTGCAAACGATTATATATCAAAATTGCAGTGCATAAAGTTGGCGCTTAACTGTTAATTTTTGTTTAGTGTATTGTTTCAATTAAGTTTAGGGGAAAAAAACTCATATGAATAAAGATGGATATATGTGTTTTGCTATGTTCTGCTGGTACTCGTCCTTAATTTATTAGTATCCTAAGCTGACTATGGAGTGGATTATGCCAGAGAACACAAAAGACTTCTGTGGACATAGTTTAAGAAAGGAAAAAGACTTTTGAGAGTTGTGGTATACAAGTCATAAACATTGTAAATAATTTCATTAAGGGTAAAATGAATTTGTTTCTAAAGTTGAAAAGTGCCAATTCTTTTTTGGGATAAGAGTGTAAAGGAAAGTATGTCACATGAAATGTTATTGAGTGAGTACTATGTTTGATTGGAAATAGTGTTATATTCCCAAGTCTGTAGGTGTGAAAAGATTAAATAGTTAGTATCGAGGGCAGAGAGATTGTCTCTGGTAAACAGCAGTGTTCTCTTTGGACGTGGTGTTTGTTTATGCTAAGAATTTGAAAATAATGAGTAGAAGCTCTTACTATTGGAGGTGGTCGGATTCAAAATTAGATATACATATTCTGAATGCTTTTTCCCTTTAATATATACTTTCCTAGAGTACTTGTAGAAGATTACACTGGTACCCTGTTCCAATGTGGAAAAAAAGTGAAGGAAATATGTGTTCCCACATATGCTTAGTGATGGAATTGTGCATGGGTCTAACTTTTATTTGAGTTTATGGAAATGTATATATTAGTGGGTGCAATGCTCTTCTTTGAGAATTATTTTCTGTATTGTAGTTCTTACTTGTAATGGCCAAAATAGATGTTAAGAAGTTATGTTGCTACTAAAGTAACTTTGGAGTAGTTCTAAGAGTTCAACCACTTTGAAGTGCCACTTGCAACTTAGTGATTTTGACATTCTGGCACAACCTAATCATTCTCTTCTTTTTGCTACAGATGGGCTACCGGCATATTGATTGTGCTCAAGTTTATAAAAATGAGAAGGAGGTAATTTGGCTTTAATCATACTGAACATTGCATAGTATTGAAGTGGTTCTCTCATCTAAAAGCAGAAATGACACTTCTATTATTTATTTTATATCTACAACACACCCCTTTATATGTCTGCCATATTCATTTTAGGGACGAACATGTATAGATAATCTGTTGACGGGTCGGAGATCATGTCAAACTGTATGACTATCTCGTCTGAAAGGATTTTAAATCATTGGAGAGGGACACTTATTTATTTATTTACTTCCCAAAAAAAAGTAAAAATAATAACTTGGTTTTTTGCATCCAGTGGATGTCTTGCACTGAGACGGCATCATAGAGGGGATTATCAAGTTATCACTTACAAATCTCAATTCCAAGTGTAAATGCGGCTTTAATGTATCTTGTTTACTGTTTCCTGATATATTGCTGCAACATGGGAAATTATCGCTTTATGTAAAGATCTGAAAAATCAGTACATATGCAAAGTAGCCATTAAGGCGGCACTTTAGGAGCATTATTGATGTGATAGACATTCTGCCTATAATATTAAGGTCTTGTGGAAAAATCTTGTGTCAGTCTTTGATGGTTTTGGACTTCATCTTTTGCCTAGGGAAAGGTGATCAATGGTTATCGTTTGTTTCCAGATCAATCTGTCATTAACATTTTCTGGTCTGATTTGTTGAATTTGTTCAAACCAAGTTTCATTTTGTTAGAATGTAAAACATGTCCTGCTTTCTAGAACTTGTCTCATTTTTTTCTTCCTCAAAGATTGGTGAAGTTTTGAGCAGGCTGTTTAAAGATGGTGTTGTCAAGAGGCGAGATCTATTCATTACATCCAAACTCTGGTATGTATTCAAACATTCCTATTACAACTTACCTCCCTGTTGTTCGCCCTAAAATTTAAATATGCTGAGTCAATTTCTTTCCATTATGAAGTTAACTTGTTCAACTTTGTGGAGTTATTCTCATCAATCTTTTACCATTGGTCTTTTGTTTATCATTGTTGAGTTCCCTCTTTTATTATTTATGTTTCCTGATAGCTTGGTAATTCAATACCTACTCTGCTTTTAGCACTAAAATGGTGCTGATGGGCCTCTGTTTTTTCCATCATTGTGGTCTCCATAGTGTTTCAGGATACTCATACATTCAAGTGTATTAACTTTTTTAGGAACACTAATCATGCACCTGAAGATGTACCAGTCGCACTAGACAAAACTCTTAAAGACTTGCAGTTGGAATATGTTGACCTGTACCTCGTAAGTTCTTCTTAATGTGAAGCTTTCTTTCTGCTAGTATTTCTAACTTTGCTAAATACTCCCTCCGTCCCTTTTTAGTTGTCCACTTTAGAAATGACACACAGATTAAGGCAACAATGATTAGCACAGTGAAGTTACAATTTTACCCTTATGACAACTTTTCACTTCAAAATTACAACCACTTATTTGAATTCAAGTGAAATAAATTGGAGGGAAACAACATACACTTTTACAATTTTCAAGAAGTGTAAATAAGGGTATAATAGGAAAAAAATTGTTGTTCTTTCTTGATTTGTCAAAATGGACAACTAAATAGGGACAACTAAAAAAGGAAATATGGACAAGTAAATAGGGACGGAGGGAGTAGTTCATAGCCATATTACTAAATTATTATAATATACTTCTAAGAAGTGTTCACTGCAATATACTCCCACTCTTCCCTTAAGTAGATGCACCAGAACGAAATTTTAGAGCTGCCACGATGCTCCTGAGAACTATTACTACTGCCGTTGAACTTCTACATATCTTGGAAAAATTTAAACATCAAAAGAGAGTTCATTAGTTTTATAAATATAAGTGATTTACTTTTTCTTTTGTTTTTCTGTATTAAATGGTATCCTTGTAAATAAATTGAGACTTTTGTTTCTATAGATCCATTGGCCTGTCAGTATGAAGCCTGGATCAGTTGACTTTAAACCTGAAAATCTTATGCCAACCAACATACCCAGCATATGGGAAGCAATGGAAAAAGTTTATGATTCCGGGAAGGCTAGAGTTATTGGTGTTAGCAATTTCTCTACTAAGAAACTGGGAGATCTTTTGCAAGTAGCACGTATTCGTCCTGCTGTCAACCAGGTGGAGTGCCATCCTTCGTGGCAACAAGCCAAATTGCGGGAGTTCTGTAAATCCAATGAAGTGCACCTCTCTGTGAGTTCATTTCTAAAGCTCTTGTACCTCTTGTGTACATTGTGGTCAAGTTTTCATTAGATTTTTCTCCAATTTCCATTTTTCTTCTGATTACTGTGAACAATTGTTCATAGGGGATGAATTTATTTGTTCCATGAGTTTGGTTGTTGGTAACCATTGACTAGTCATCTGTCTACATGAGTAGATTGACAATGAGTTACTGTTTTTACTCCTTTTCTCGACACCTTTTTATTTCAGGCATATTCGCCGCTTGGCTCTCCAGGTACAACATGGCTTAAAAGTGATGTGCTAAAGCAGCCAGCTGTAATCTCAGTTGCTGAGAAATTGGGCAAGACTCCTGCACAGGTTTGTCTTCGTTGGGGCATTCAGATGGGTCAGAGTGTACTTCCTAAGAGCACACATGAAGCACGAATTAAAGAGAATCTTGATGTACTGAACTGGTCTATACCTGATGACTTGCTTGCCAAGTTCTCTGAAATTCCACAGGTAAATTCTTTCATTGTTATGGCAATTACTTTTGATATTACTGAGATTGCAATTGTAAATTTGTTCTCTCTTATCATATTAATTTCAAATTTGAAAAGTGCAAATGGACCTAGAAATTGGCTGTATACTGAGATAGCAATCCCTGTTCCAAGGGAAAAGTAAATAAAAATGAAGAAAGAAACACGAATGAGACTTGCATTGCACATAATGAATCTCTGTCAGACTTGTATTCATGAGTTCTTTGATACCGCTTGGTGACATTCATATAATTTACAAATAGATGCTTTGATACCTCTTACTTGTGACAGATTCATGCCGTCAAACGAACGTCTAATATGCATGACTATATACTGCCGTCTGCTAGTTAGACAACACCCCATTGGGACCAAAAGAAAATGAAAGCCCCTTTTATCCGTGCACTGCCTCACTTATACCCTTTAAACTTCCTGGATGGTTGCGATAAGTGTCTATATAAGTCTGTTACCAGATATTTTGATCACAAACTCTATTAATGCAGTTCATGGATTATTGACATTGCAGGCAAGGCTGCTGAGAGGCATTTCATTTGTTCACGAGACGCATGGCCAGTACAGAACACTTGAAGAGCTGTGGGATGATGAGATCTAAGGTCACAGTATGAGTTAACTGTCAAAGATAGGCAAATCTTAATCCATTTGTCTCAGAGATTCAAGCTTCTTGTGCACTTCCTTTTCCTTTTGAACTTTTGGAGATCGATGAATTTTCAAACCATTAGATGTAGGTTTCCTTGCACCCCGTCCCTCTATTGACTCTATGCTGGAACACCATTCAACTACGAGACAGTATTCAAACAATTGATTTGCTGGGATAATACTACCCCTAAACCATCAACTTTTGCAGTCATCTTTTATTGTGGAGTAGTTAAATACTATGCTCCTGGTGAGGCTATATCTCCTTCCTTTCGTTTGGTGGATGAATCAAGTACTTTTAGTTTTGTCTATCAGACGGGGAAAGGAAAAAAAAAAAAAACAGAATAGTGTATGAGGTTTTAAACATCACTGTTAATACTTGGCAATTGAACATGTTTCTCATACTACTTGAATCAAGCGCACGCATGGCATGAAACTAACAGACACACATAGCATGCTTAAATTTCACTTGGCAGTGCTATTTTTAGTTCCTGTCTCAGTCTTCTCCTGTTACTGACTAATGAGTAAATAACGGTAGTAAAGTAGTAAATAAGAGGTGGTTCAATTAATGGTCAAGTATAATTTTGTAGTTTTTAACATGCATAAAATTGTGGTTCAAAGTGGAGCTCTTGGTGAGAAAAGATAATATTATTATACTGAGGGCTAAAGTAAATACTTAACAAATTAGAGAGCCGAATTTGGACGTTTTCCATATTTATTAGTAGTAATTTTTTTTTAATGGCTTCGTTAGTGAAAAAGAGGTAAAAATAAACTATTCCGGAAGCCAGAAGTACAAAGTGTGTCAATTTTATAATGCTCTGAAAATGGATAAGCCAGAAGTACATAAACATGTAAAGTTAAATAACAAATATAAAAATCCAAACTTCATTTGTGAAAATTTATTATTGCTATCAGCTATGGCGATGGGCCGACTTGAAATTTTACCTTACTGTTTGGTGTATCTTGTACAATTGATTTTTCGTTCAGGCAACTGTAATTTTGGGCGATGCATTTTGTCTTCGTGGGTTTGAACCCACGCCCTTTCGGACTGCATTATGCCATAAAAATTATTTAGAATTTTAAATACGCTTTTTTTGATTTATTTTTATTTGTTAAATCTTACTCAAAAGCGCCGTAACGGGGAACCTTGGCCCTACGCCCTGCTTAGGATTCATATGGCGCTATACTCCGCAATTCGCAGAGCTTCTAAGTCCACAATTCCTCTTACACTTCGCTCCGTTGCTACTGCCACAGCTTCCACCGTCGGAAATGGCCATTGCGGCGGTGCTTCTAGAAGCTTCTCGATTCCGGCGCTTCATTACTCCACCAGCGCAGTCAAGAAGAAGAGAAAACACAGCTCTTTTGATGATATTCTGCTCCAAATCGTCGATTCGGAAATCAAATTTGCCATAGATTCTGAATTTCACGACTGCGTAAGTTCCTGCCATTTGAATGCTGATATGAAATGTCGAATGAGCTTCTTTTTTTGGTTATTCTGACTGTAGCTTAGTCTGTTGTGTTGAGAGTACAACTATACATCATGTTTGGTTTGAATTTAATCACCTAATTCAGTCACTTCTTATTTGGGTTCTTCGCCTAGTATATGAGGCACCAATATCTTTAACATACATTTGTCAATTACTCGACTCAAAGAGCCTTTCGAGTTTCATGAATATAATCATTTTTGAATAAATAACAACATAAACAAAAGGAAGTTATTTTTTTCCAGAATATATCAACCATCTAGAAAAATAACTTACACATTCCTGTGGCTTCATTTGCCTTATATCTTCTTATTTTGCTTTCATATTTTTGTGCCACTAAAGGCATAGGTAATATCTATATACATTCTTGATCCTATTTTTCACCCCATTTGTGGAATCAGACTTTGTGGTATGCTGTTTTCATTTGTGGAATCACACATTGTGGTATGTTGTTTTGTTGTTGGTATTTAAATACTTGGGAGCTTCAACATGCATAGGAAAAAAACTAACTTAAAAGTAGAGATTTAGTTGATATCAAATGATATTAGATATATAAAAAGTCTAGTAACATTTTTGGTAACTCAGTTATTCGTAAATGCTACTCCCTCCATCCCATTTTCTGGGATACCCTTTGACTTGACACGAAAATAAAGACTTTTGAAACTTGTAGTCTAAAACAATCCTTGGATATTTGTGTGGTTGAGATTTATTTCTTTAAGGGTAAAAAGAGAATTTTAAAGTTTAATTATTTCTAATTATAGTAAGTTGACATGCTTTTTGGGATGGACTAAAAAGGAAAAAAGGTGTCACATAAAATGGGACAGAGGGAGAAATTTATTTTTGTGTGATATTTGACTAAACACATTTTGTATTCAATGGCAACAACATATTCACTGAATCTTATAGGTGGGGTTTGAGAGGGTAGAGTGTACGCAAACCTTATCCTTTCCTCCTGGAGGTAGAGAAGTTGCTTGTGAAAGACCCTTGACTCAAGTAATGCATATCAAAGCTAGAAGAAAAGAAAATGACAAATTCAAATAGGTATATAAGGGAAGTATTTCATAGCATTCAGAGAGAAGGTACAGTAACAACAACCAAAGCAGCACAAGAAATAACAAGGTAGTAACATGAATCAAAGGATTGGAATCTATGAGAATAATGCTATTAATACTGGTATGGATGGAGAAACAGGTAGAGAGTACCAAACCTATAACACATGAGATAAGACATTATGCAGTTACTTACTAAGTATCTACCCTAATCCACGACCTCCATACCCTTTTGTCTAAGGTCATGTGCTCGGTAAGTTGAAGATACGTCATGTGATGTCTAATTACCCCTCTCAATACTTCTCTGACTTATCTCTACATCTTCGTACACCCCCCAAATCCAACCTCTCACACCTCCTCACAGGCCATCTTCATATCTCCTGTTTACATGTCCAAACCACCTCAGTTGAGGGAACAATCTCGCTTCCCTCAACTTGTGCACCACAGAGGCCACTCCCATCTTGTCTAGGATATCATCATTCCTAATCTTAGCTTTTCAATTATGCCCAACATCCTCATTTTTGCAACTCTCATCTTCTAAACATGAGAGTTCTTAACTGGTCAATATTCTGCTCCACACAACATCATCGGCCTAACCACCATTCTGGAAAGCTTACCATTTAAGTTTCGAGAACATACTTATTGCACAAGACTCCAGAAGCGAACCTCCATTTTGTCCAACCCGTACCAATATCATGTGTAACATCATCATTGATCTCTCTATTTCCTTGAATTAAAGACCTAAGATACTTGAAGCATCCTTTCTTGGGGATGGGTTGTGCATCAAGCCTCACTTCTATGCCAACCTCTTGCATTACATCACTGAACTTGCATCTCAAGCATTCAATTATGATCTTGCTCAACCGGAACCCTTTAGACTCCAAAGTTTGTTTCCAAACCTCCAACCTAACGTTAACTTCTCTGAGTCTCATCGATTATTTTTATGTCAACTGCAAATAACATACACCAAGACACCTCACCTTTAATATGTCATGTCAATCCATCCATCACCAATGCAAATAGAAACTGACTAAGGGTTGAACCTTGTTGCAGCTCCATAATGACTAAGAAGTGCTCCTAGTCTCCTCCTACTGTTCTGACCTGAGTCTTGGCTCAATTGTACATGTCCTTCATCGCGTTAGTGTATGCCACAGGAACCCCTCGAGTCTCTAAACATTCAATTACTTGATAAGTGCACTTTTTGATCCTTTTGCTTGTGATTCCTTGCCGTGGTTGTTTCCTGGGTTTTCTCTAGTGAACCTGGTATATAAGAAATTACTTTATTTGAGATTTCTCTGTCATTGACTTGTTTGGGCCTCACATATTAGTAGTGTGCATGTTTGATAAGGCTAGCTTAGATTCTGAACCATAAGCTTGATTCTACTTTATTTGTGCCTTGAATGTGAGATGAGTCTGTTTTGAATGTATCTATGTCATGTGGTGAGATGTCATTGATTTATATTGTCTATATAATTTAGAACTTGGCCGATATGTTTGTCTTGAAAGCATAGGTGCTACACAGTTTTGGAGACGATGAATATGCTATCTTGACCCGATTGTTAAGACTTTCTAGCCTACCAAATGACGTTATCCCTAGTCGTCCCCGGTTGAGTCTTATAGCCCATTTCTTTGAAATAAGCACATCGTTAGCTGATCCATTGTTAGGTGCTTAATAGTACTAAACTAATTACTCTATCATGTTTGAGTTGCTGCTCATATCAAACCAAGTATGCCCTTTCTTTCAATTTGTGTGAGATAATTTTACTGAGTATGGTATAAGAAAAGAAGAGTACTTTTGAAATTTGTGGTTTTAAACATTACATAATATTTGTGTGGCTACTGGACTTTGAAACTTGTGGTCTTAATTCCATTTGTATGACTATAAATGCTTGTTATGAAGTATCAGGGGAAGTTTATGTTTAATTTTTTTTCCAAATTCAAAAAACTTCCTATTCTTTTTTAAACAAACTAAAAAAGAAAATGATGCCGCAAGTAAAATAAAACATAGGGAATACTAATTTGTATTCTAGTTTAGTTTTTTCGAACTTGTTAAATCTTTTCCTCTTTAAAAGACTAAGACGGAGAAAATGCTTTCCGGCGTTTGGTTATAGAGGAGAAAAGTTCTTTTGAAAATATTATTAATAATGTTAGCTGAATGGGATATTGCACTTTGATGAAATTTTTTATTATTAAAGATTTATTATAGTGTCTTAAATGTAGGTTGGAGTAGTAAATTAAGAGAAGAGATGGGATAGTTATGAAAGAAAATGACTTCTACCATAAATGAGGGAAGTCATTTTCTCCCTTTTGGTGGAAAATGCTTTTCTTGAAAATAATTTTGAGTTCTAAATACCAAAAAATGAGTTATTCTCTGAATAACAATCCCCAAAAAATAATTTCTATCGTACCAAACACAAAAAATGACTTATGTTCATCAAGACTATAATTTCTGCAGCGTTATATACTCCAATTTATCCTTAGAAGTTGTAAGTTACCCCGCGTTCTTGCGATTAAACTTGGCAACTTTAGTCTTTAGGTTCTTTGGTAGTATATGAGTTTATTTGATGAAGAAGATGAGCTTCATTGGTTTGACACTTCTTCTGATCAACCCGCATTCACTGATCCTTTTGGTTATACTCCACCGACTTACCTAAATTTATGAAAGGCACAAATACATGTTCTAAAATTTTCAAACTTTTGGAACATATTTCAGATTTTGCTTGTTGAACGTCAATACAACTAATGTATTTGTTATTACCATTAGTTAATTTTACAAGTTAGAACCAAAAGACAGATACAAATTGCAATCTTAAAGAATTGAGAGGAAGTATCATATATTAGAACAATCTATCATAGTAAATCGAATGAATAGTCCTGAATATAATTAGTTATTGTCAATTCATAGTCCAGGATATGATCATGGAGTTTGTCTTGTATAAGTTTGAATTCTAGGACTTGTTCATTGAGTTTTACTTACATAAGTTGGAACTCCAGGACACGGTCCTGAAGTTTCATTTACAACACTTCGAATTGTAGGAATATTTTTGGAATTCATGTTGCTCATTTTCAATTACTTTGCCTCCATTTTAAGCTGTGGTGATCTTTCAAGTACTTTGCAAATGCTGGCTGTATTTCAGTTAACAATCCTAAACTATGTTGCTCGGACTCTTCAAAAATGTCAAGCGGTGCGTGTCGGATTCTCCAAAGTAGTGTATTTTTGGAGAATCCGACTTGTGTGCGGCATCAAAAGTGAAGAGTCCGCGCAATTTAGATCCTAAAAGTGGCTACCTTTTTGTCTGTAGAAGGGTTCTGAGCCCATGACCCCAGCTTAACTCACATATCACAAGCTGCCTTCTCATCATTAAAACAAAGTCCCCTAGGCCATTTAGCTGCTTAATTATAAGTGTAAATTATTGCAAATCACATTTCAATCCACAATTTGTCTGTAATAATACTGGAATGGAATGTTATAGAACACGATTACCTATTGGCACCAGTTGGTTGAAACTTCCCCTTTATGTAGGTTGTGGACATCCCGGATGACTTTCCTTTTAAGGTTCAAGATAAAGCAGGAAAAAGAGTTATTGTTCTTACGAGAGATTATGGTGAAGAGACCATAAATATAGTAGTGGACATGCCTAATTCCAGATGTGAAAATGTTGAAGGTGATGCGGTTAACAGTGAGGAAGAGAGTGAGCCACAACCTAGTATTCCATTGTCTGTCACTGTGTCAAAAGAAAATGGCTTGTCACTAGAGTTTGATGTGAGAGCTTTTCCAAATAAAATTTCAATTTGTGGCATGTCCATCAAGGAGCCAAAAAGTTCGAGCAATCAGCTAAACTATAGAGGGCCTGCTTTCTCGTAAGTACTTATCTATTGTATGATGGTTGGAGTTGCTTTGGAGCCACTTTCTTACTATACTGCTCGGACTCTTCAAAAAAACTGCAGGGTGTGTCAGATCCTCCAGAAGTAGTGCATTTTTAGAGAGTCCGAGCTACATAGCTTTCTTATACTTATTATCCAAGTTGTGTTGTCTTCTTTTCAGATTTCTAAATGAAAGTCTTCAGAAGTCTGTCTATGAATATCTTGAAGCCAGAGGGCTGACGGGCAGCACTGCTAACTTTATGCTGGAGTATGTAATTAGCAAAGACACCAAGGAATATATCCGGTGGCTTAAAAACATCAAGAATTTTGTCGAGAACTAGCATCCTTTTTCATGGATATTTAGAACCTGGTGAGCCTAACTGTTTTCATTTCGAGTTATTAGTAATATATCAATGATTTCTATCTTTTACTTTTCTAGTTGATGGTGTTCTGGTGTTTTTACTAAAGAAACATTGGGCTAATGTCAGATGATAGACGATGATGGATGGAACGTCAAAGTTGGTAAGAAATAGCAATAGTTATAACCACATCACACTTCTTTGCAGTATTACTAGCTATAATAATGAACATCAGTGGAGGGACATCTTGTATAAATTAGAGCACTTTTGTGATTTTGTTCACGGATTTAGTTTTCTTTCTCAGGCAATTCATGTATACTTCAGACAAAAGATGAAAATAATAATGTTATTGCATGAATTGACAACTTTCTTAAGTTGCTGCAACATACAGATATCAACTTAAAGATACAAAATCACTCACATTCTATTTGAAATCAATAAATCGCAAGGCACAAGTTATGTCTTATAAGTCATACGTTCAGTTTCAGAACATTATGCTTTAAGAAGTTCACACCCACAAATTATGTTTTATAATTGCATAACTAAGCTCCTACTCAACTTATGCCCATAGAGGCATACATTCAGTTTCAGAACCATATGCCTTAAAGTGAACTTGAGAAATTCGGTCACAATTAAGAATACTTTTGACTCATAAATTTTCATTAAATTAGAAGTAGGACAAAAATTAAAACGGGCATTCCATGCAAAAACTTGAAATATGTACACAATGTATAACTAGAGTACACTATATTTAATATTAACTATACATATAATATAAATAACTATGCACAACATCTACGATCAATGTGTATAGGTAATGTATACTTTGACCATGTTAGTAAACTAGATGGACGAAGTATATATTTATGTAAGTTTTCCTTTTATTTTTGCTTAATTTATCATATTCAACAACTTTTTTATTTTATTTTTCAATCAATTATTCTGCTTGTTATTTGCCATTTCCAACTAGCGTGTTTAGGCAAAAAAAATAAAATCTTGCACAACTTGCATCAATTTCATTGATTTTCTTGGTAACATCCTTGAAATTATCTTTATATGTAATTTCCAAGTGTTTTCCTGGAAGTAGTACTCTATTTAACTCCAACTAAATTATGTACACATATATAACTTGACTAAAAACTGAAAAGAAAAAGATTTCCACAGGGGAAATGTACCTCTAACATGTCCAGTTACAGAGGTGTATTTGGAATTTCAGAAGGATACACTGTTACAAAAAAAATGTATTCAAAATATAAATTTAATTGGTTTACCTTTAGGTTTTTAATATTAACTATTAAATTTTAAAAATTATAGATTCAAAATATATAATACTATTAGTTTTAAATTTAATATACACATTTGATTTAATTATATAAAAATTTTACAGTGCTAAATTTTTTAGGAATTTTCAATGTAACACACTTGAAAATTTTAAAAGATTAAAGCAAAAAAAAAATAAAAATCGTTAAAAGAGTGTTACCGATAACCACTTGGAGAGGTATTACTCACAAAAAAAGATACATATAATCTAAATTTCTATCTTCACTTAGAGAGGCGCGCTCAATCATCATCGTATTATTATATGATACTTTGGACGTGAATTTACACATTTATATTAAAAAAAATATAACACTATTATATATGATCTACAAAGACCGAAGAACATGGATTCACGTGAACCCACGAAAGCCCCTCTCGATACGCGTCTCTCTAATTTCTAAGTACTTTCTTTTCTGAATCTTCTAAGGGATTTCTGGAAGGGCATCGTACTACTCGCTTGACTTACGATATAATAATAATAATGTCAACTGCCAATCTGACGTTATTGATGGTTCAGTACTTTTTTATTTACTTCCATTTAAATTTTTATTTGCAATGCTAGCTAGGTCCAATCCATATTAAAAGAATAATTCAAAGAAAATCAAACAATATTGTTAAAATGTGTGTGTATATATATATATATATATTAGCCCACATGCAGGTTCGGTTGAACCCAAATATGTCTGGAAGTCGGAGGACCTTTAGTACTATATTCTACCCCTGAATTAGCGGTCTTCACGTCAAGTAAAATCGTCCTTGCTCAAACAATTTATTTGGATAAAAAAATTATTAAATGTATTTCGCTTTTCATTATTTCAATCAAAATATCTATAGAAATAACCAATAAATATTTTTCAGTGGAAAATTCAGTGAGAAAATAGTGATTTTTACTAATGCTAGTGATGAAAGTATAATATAGCACGAAGTTAGCTTCTATATATGATCTAATATGGTTAAAATATTCACTACTAAAATCACTTTGAATATAATATTACATGTAAAAGAACAGAATTAATAACAAATATAGTAAATAAACTTTCACAACAAGCTTCATTAGATATAAGTTAAATCCAAATTTTAGTAGCATTTATTTGAGAGCCAACACCATAGGAGACTTTGCAGAGTGTTGAAACGTTCCAGCTCAAATTATAACAAGATAAAACAACTTTCAAATATAATATTTTTTGCAAATATCATTTATTTTTTGCATGACATTTTAATTTTATTTTCAAGAAAAATATCAAATAACAGAAAGTTCCACTGACATTTCCAAGAATCAAAAAGGAATTTACATGTTATAGTTGAACACCGGATACAGAGGCAAATTCAGGATTTAAGTTTTATGAATATCAACATTTAATGTTCTTATCATGAACCCATTAAATAATTAAAATTTTGAGCTCATATCCATAAGTCATTGCAATTTTACTGAAATTTTATACACAAATTTATACTTCGCATAAAAAATACTATTCAATATCTAATAGTTGTAGTATTACTCAGGTTTTATTGCACTTTGATTACTGTATTATTTGGTTGGAATACGTTTTTTTTTCTTCAAAATGCTTTGACATGTTCTTTATAGTATTTTGTCATGACTTCTTCACTCTTGTTAATTTAATTTTTTGAGTCGAAGGCCTATCAAAAACAACCTCTCTACCTCTCAAGATATGAGTAAGGTATGTGTATAATACCTCTCCTCATACTCACTTATGAAATTACACTGATGAGTAAGGTCTGTGTATACTCTATCTTCTCCTCATACTCCATTTATAAAATTACACTAAATATATTCTCGTGGCAACTAGTCTAACGACATGAGTCATGAGCAACCGTCCAAATTAAATCATATAGGAAGCATCCTGGTTGTTACTGATGTATTAATTATAAAGACAATTTCTAGTCTATGTAATATTAAAAACAAGTGAAGGACTTCAAATTATTATAACTACAAGTTAAAGTCTTCAATCGTCTTCTTCTTCTTGGGATTATCAAGTTCCATACAATTCAATTTCCATCTTCTAAGCTAGCAATCAATTTTAATTAAAAAAATGACACTTATTCCAACAACCATTCAACATTTTACTCACAAACAACATCCACTAATACTACATGATGATACCATAAACCCTAAATATTTATGTGAGGGTTGCATGACTTATGGCTTTGGTACAAGATATCATTGCCATGCTTGCACCTTTAATCTACATGAAGATTGTGCAAAGTGTACCCGAATTCTATGGTCTTTCATGCATCCTCACCACCCACTCAAGCTTGTTGAGCGCGATCACCTGAGTGGTGATCGCGCTTGCAACATATGTCGTGACCTAATTGAAGGCCTATCTTATAAGTGTGAGCTTTGTGGATTTGATGTTCATCCTATATGTACTCAATTACCGGAAACACTCAAACATATTCTACATCAGGTAACCCAGCTAGAAATTCATTGTATTTTCTCTGTCCTACTTTATGTGATTGTTTTTTCTTTTTAGTTCGTTTTAAAAAATTAGAATTAAATGAGTAGAAGTGCTCAGCCTTTGGTTTTTTTTCCCATTAACCTTCAATTTTAGTGTGCATTATCGTTTGTTTAGCTTTTGATTTTGAAAAAAAAACAAAAAAGATCTAGGATTCTATAAAATTCTAGGGTTGTATAAAAATTAATTTAGGATTTATTGTGGAATTGTATAAAATTTTAGGGTTCATTTTGGGGTTGTATGAAATTATAGGGTTCATTTTGGGGTTGTATAAAATTATAGGGTCATGGAGAAATATAGAAAGGGGGAGAAGGATTTGAAGTAAATAAGTTTTTTTTTTAAGAAAAAAATAAATAAATAAATTAGTAAGTTCAATTAGCTGTTATAGATGCTAACTAGGAGGATCGATTTTATGGGCTTTGTAAGCCTTCATGTGCCTGTTGTCGATTGATTTTGAAATATTTGATCGACTCATCATCTAGGTATATTTTAATACAAACAGAGTGATAGTTTAGACAGATAATTAAATGATTGAGATATGAAATTTGGAAAAAGTGATAATTAAGATATATTTTTAATCATTAACTCAAAGAATTATCAAGTAAATATTATTCATGGAGTTTATTTAGAAACAAAAGAAGATTTTGTATTATAACTTATTAGGTGACCTTTTGAGACATTCAAAAATTAGGTGAATAATGCAACTATATGTGTTAAGTTGGATTACTTTATAATTATATACATTCAAAAGTGATTTTAATGCATTGATATTGCCCTAAAATGATCATTTAAGTAATTAACTCTCTTTTATAAGAAATTATATATAAAAAATTTGGACCAATTATAGTTTAACTCTTCAACGTCCAATTAAAAAATTGCCTGTCAAGTTCTATCGTATATATGTGGTTGCAACATTAATTTGATGATCATGATATTGTCATTAATATTTCAGCTGCATCCTTTAAGGCTATTGGGCTCGGTCGAACTAGGAATTACATGTGCCGTTTGTAGAGGAGCATGTAACCCTTCTTCATGGCGTTATAGGTGTGCACTATGTAAATTTGATATTCATATAGGTTGCGTGCCAATACAATGTCAAAATACAACGACCCATCGAGGAATTCCTACGTACGTTCCACCGTCTATATTACCACAACAACATTATTTTGTTGGTTATCCTAGTCCCAATCATTTTCCTGGTCCATCTAATATGAACCATTATAACAACAATATTATGCCACAATATCCACAACTAAACCAACAAAATCAAGGTCTTCCTGGTCCATCTAATATGAACCATTATAACTACAATATTATGCCACAATATCCACAACTATACCAACAAAATCAAGGTCATGGGCAGGCCCAGAC